CAAAGTTGGTCACAACAACTGCATACATATTCTGGGCCACTTGCAATGTTTTTGTGAAAAAATTTATCATAGAAGTGCATTACATTTGTTTGTTTGTTTGTGGTTTCAGTACATCACTGCTGCATGTTAGTTGTGATACACTAGGCAGATCATGAAATGGTGTTTCAGTTACTGTTTATGCTTTTTTTAAAATTTTGATTTAATTCTTTGATGTGTTGAGGGTTATTCAGTTTTTGTTTCCTTGCGGCCTGTTTGTTAATTTCCCTTATGTGCTCTGCACTCTCTGTTTTTCATCTTGTTGCTGTCTGTTTATTGATTTCCTTAATGTACTGCAGGTGCTCTGCTTTTCATTTTCTCACTGTTTGTTTGCGTTCTCTCTTTTTCCTTATCTCAGACTGTTTGTTAATTTCCCTTATGTGCTCTGGGTTCTTTGCTTTTGTTTTATTATGGTCTGTTTGTTAATTCCTCTTATGTGCTCTAAGGTCTCTGCTTTTCATTTTCTAAAGGAGCATTCCTCAATTTTTCTTACATGTTCTGGATCCAGTTTTATTTTTCTGGCAGCCTGGTTTTTCTTGTCCCTAGTTGTTTTGCTATTAATGCAGCTGCTTTGCGGCAAGTTACCATTCTCACTTTTTCTAAACTTCTCATCAGCTTCTATTTGTATCCCCTTGTGTAGTCTTTTTTGTAAGCTTTACACTTCTTCCTGCTATCAACTGGACTGTTTTCATCTGCATTTTGTGCAAATTTGCTGTTGTTTGTAAACCTCAAAGTTCTACTTTCTACTGTAAAAACGTAATGAATCTCATCCAAGTGCCCAATGTAAATATTGAGGCCATCTGCATTCATTGGTTCAACAACAGTAACGGGAGAAAAGTTGTATTTGATTCACTGGGCTTATCATTGACACCACCTAAGCTTCCATGCCAAACTTGAAGGTTTTGGTTGTCAGACCTCTCTGTCTTTCAAAGCCTCTCCAGCCAAAGGACATAACGATATGAAACCAGAAATCTCGCAAAAGTGACAGTGTAAAAACACCACTTGCTTTGGGGTGTTTGAGATGCTCTTCTTTAATAGTAAGTGGGTTGGTTATGTTTTTCTTACCGCTTCATGTTCTGCTTCAAATTACTGAAACACTCTCCAACATGGCTGCTATTTATTACTCACCTCAAGGGGCTGATACAGACCATTTTTGTTGTTTTCTTGGTCTTCTCTGAGTGTCTTTATTCAATCAGCTGATGAAACTCCTGCTCACCTAGCTTCACAAAACTCGAAAACTTAGCTGGATGGTCAAAAAGCTTTAAGGATACATGGGCAGACCCAAAATCGCATTCAAAAATCAAACTGCAAAACTGCTTAGGTTGTAGATGGGATAGTCTGAGCGAAGAACTGACAACATTTGCTCTTGCTTATGTAGCACCAGTAGATTTGAGTTACAGCAAGCGGATCTTGGGAAGTAGCTTTGAGAGGAGTACTTTAGAGAAGTTGCATGACTACTTCCCACCTCATTAAATCCAGCCATGTGGGTGATTGGGCATGCTGTATCCTTAAATCCAAAGCATTTTTTAAATTCTGGCATATTTAAAGTAACCTTGGAGGGTTTGTTTAGACAAATTAATTTTGGTTATTCGGTAAAGCCCAGCTTGAACCATGTCCCTTCAATCACAGAAATGTGTTCACATTCTCCAAGGAGTCTTTCCAACCATCAGAATCATTTTAACTATCAGTGTTACTGGCCTCTGTGTTTTTCACTCTCACAGTCACAGCCACAATCTTTACCACTGTCTCAGTCCTTGTCACTTCCTTGTCATTCTTAATGTAAATAAGCTCATTGTGTCCGTCTTTTTCACAGTCACAGTTTGTGATTGTTATTGTGTCTGTAAGGGTCACTGTCATTGTCTCCTTCCGTGTCATGATCAATGTCATTGGCTGTCAATGTCTGTCACTCCCTCTGTATCTCTTACTATCACTGTCAATTTTACTGTCTGTCTTTTTCTCGTACACTGTCACTATTTCTGTCATCTTTTCTTTTCGTCACTCTCTGTTACTGTTGCTGTCTCTAACTTTCATTATCACTTGACTGTCATCGTCGCTTTCAAAGTCAGTCACCATCATTTAATTGCACTATCACTTTCTCTCTCACTGTCTCTGTTGCTGCTGCCTCATTAGGACTGTAACTGTCACTGCCACCATTGTTATTTTCCCTGTCAATGAAAACCATCAATGTCTTTGTCACTCACCTTCACTCTATTCAGCCCTGTCACTTCACTGTCAGTGCCACTGTTGTTGTCTCTCTCACAGTTTTTCTCTTAGTCACTCTCACTGCCTCTATCTCTGTGAGATTGACAAAGACCCAGTGAGATTGACATGAACAACAAAGTGTTAAATGACGGTCAGACAGAGAGAGACAGCAACAGCAACAGTGAAAGTAAGACAGTGAGAGACAGAAAAAATGACTGACGTTATGACAGTGACGTTATGACAGTGACGTTATAACAGTGATAGAAAGAGTAAGAGTAGAAGAGACAGTGAGAGTGACTGTGGCATTGAGAGAGACAGTAAAAGTAACTGAAAATGATATAATGTGGTAGAGTTGACAATGAAAAAGACAGGAAAAGTGACAGACAGAGAAAATGACACTGTTAGATACAGTCAAGGTTTGAGAGGGAGAATCTGAGAGGGACAATGAGAGAGCCAGCAATTTTGTTAGTTGCAATGACAGACCGTGACAGTGGCTTTGACTGTGACAAAGACAGTGACAGTTAGGGGGATAACATCAGTGACATTTACAGTGACTGTCAAAATGAGAGTGACACTGAAATTGACTTTGAAAAAGACTGAGACAGTAACAGCAACAGAGAAAGTCTCAGAAGGCATGACAGTGATTGTAAAAGAGTGACAGACAGGTAGTGATAGTGAGAGTGACAGCGAAAATGACAGCAACAGTAATAATAACAAAGAGCATGAGTGTCAGTGAGAGTTAATTGTTCTAGTAGCTACAACAGTTTCAGAGACAGAGGTGGTTGTGACCGTAACCAGAGAGTGACAGAAGTGGTGACAATGACATACAGAGTGACAGTGGCAGAGAGAATGACAGTGACTGTGAGAGCCTTTCTTTGGAAGGTGCTGCTGGATGAGCTACCAGATGCTGGCTGTCCCACCACTCCAAACCTGAGTATATGCTCGAGTAGACAGCACTTGAGGCCAGAGGACCCCACAGAGCTGGATTTTTCTCTCGAAGAGAATGCCATTCCTCCACTTTTTTCTGATCCTAAGTGAGGTGGCATTTCATTTTTCCACAGACCAGCAACTGAGTTAGCTTAGAGACAAAATTCCAGGTACAAGGGCTTGAGCTGTTAGTTGTGAGGATAGGTTTTTGCGCACTCTAGCTGGTCTTCACGGGAACATACAAAACGG